AATTTATAAGAAACAAAGACCCCCCTATATCGACTTTAAAATGAAGTAAAATGTAACATAATCAGCAAAGTTCTTAACTTGTAGAAATGTTTATTGCATGCAAAGCTACATAATTTCCTATATTTTAACAACTAATCAAACATTTCAAAAATTTCATTACATCACAATAATTTAAAATACTACAAAGGACCTCAAGTCAATGAGTATCAAAACCCAACTGAGAGAACATTATGCATAGATAAGGCTAACTTACTGACAGTAGCACTTTGCAGCTTTGTCCAAATACATACTTGAAAATGTAGTGAGAATGTGCAAAGAAAAACAGTTAAATCTACAACCCACTGGTCAGACAGGAAAACATTTGTCATTACATATCAGGTTCTAATGGCTGATTAAAGATAAATTTGGCATCATGCACCAAAAATGAACATAGTTAACATTTCAAAAACTTGTGATCAGATGCACATTTGAAAAGATCAATCTTCTATTTCACCCAATTAACTGAATTAGATAAAGGCAAAATAACAAGCATTTTTTGATACCTTTTGCTTGAGTACTGGTATATATAAAAAGATACTGCAGAGACATAGAAGTATTTCAAATTCACATAAGACTACTGAATTTTAGAGTACTGTCCGAAGGAAATGGCTCTGGGCAGAACTTATTTCGGAAAGATTTTCAAACTATTTAAAAGCAATACTACAATTAGTTACATACAAAAACATTTATAAAAATTAAATACCAAGAAGTAACAACATCAACATTAGATCTCTTTTGTGTATTTCAATGCTATAATTTATAAATATATATTATAGTAATTTAAAAGACAGGCCCACATATTCTATGCCTTCTAAAATGAGAAAAATCTTTCAAGTTATTTTCAAAATATGAACAAAAAAAAAAATCCATTGGATTGCTTTTTAAAAAATAAATACACAGTCTCTCCCCTACAACTTCGTATACTATATAGGGAAGATGCTAGCGAGCATTCTTTTGAGAAATTATAGCTCTAAATGAGTATGTCGAAACAATTTATGTCAATATCAACTCTAAATGGTGTCAGTCAGATTAATCAATTATGACTTTACCCCACGTCTGCCATCGTAAACCATTATTTTTACTCCTCTGTGCCAAGTATAGTAAAATTCTTTTATAATACAAAATGATTTGAGATCAAGATAACCACAAAGGAAAATATTTTCATTGAAAAAAAGTTAATTTTCCCCTAGGAGCATGTAAAAAACAAACATCTTTCAGGATATTGATGTGAAGAGGAACATTCCAATAGTCTTACTCAGTCAATAAATTTAAAATATCTTAAAAATGGAAATAAAATTTTAGTTAAGCCAGGGTGAGCAGGGAAGGAACTGGAGGTGTGAAGGAAGACCAGGCAGCACTAGTGCCTGCCTGTTGGAGAAATGGCTCACAAGGGTTTGGTTTCTAGAGCTGGGAAAAGTGGAAAAAGGGAAAACACTGCCTGGGCAGGAAAAAGTACAGAGGGAAATTCACATTTTAGAAGGGCTTTTTCTTCTTATATTGCCCAACTCTTCTGAGAAAAATTTTGATGACGCTTGTTATTTACTAATGACTTTCTCTAAAAAGGGGTCTCAACATTCTTAATGTTTTGGGTCTTTTTCTCATCACATTTTTAAAAAGTCTATCTTTATGCAAAAACATTATACTGAAAAATGATTCATTTTACTGAAATGCCCTTCTTAGTGAACTACAAGACAACCCACTGACCCAGCATATTTCACATGTACATTAAGATGCTGCTTAGCTATTGAGCAAAATCTATTTGACTAGGTAAAATATACTATTTCAAAGTAGTGCAGGGGTGTCGTGCAGGAGTGTCCAGTCTGTGGTCTGCTGGCTCCACACTCATTCTGTGAGGACTGTTTTTGTTTACCTGTGGTAGATATCACAAAAAGTATGCCCACAGCCGTTTTCTTTGCTAATCAGCTTTCCTTAGTGTTTATATATTTAATGTGTGGCCAAAGACAACTCTGATCCTTCCAATGTGTGTCAGAGAAAAAAAAAAAAAAAGGTTGGCTGCCCGGGAAGTGGTGGGATTTGTAGTTGGACCTAGTTCCTTTTGAGGAACTACCCATCAAAAACAACTGTGTAGATAAAAGAAAAATCTGTCAGCACATTAAAAATCACACTATAAAAGAGGCCCCAGAAAGGAAAGTTTAAAAGGAGAAAATAAGAAAAGAAAGAGAGTGGCTCAGCACCTGTGGCTCAAGTGGCTAAGGCACCAGCCACATACACCTAAGGTGGCACGTTCAAATCCAGCCCAGGCCCACCAAAACAACAATGACGGCTGCAACCGAAAAAATAGCCGGGTGTTGTGGCGAGTGCCTGTGGTCCCAGCTACTTGGGAGGCTGAGGCAGGAAACTTGCTTGAACCCAGGAGTTGAAAGTTGCTGTGAGCTGTGATGCCATAGCACTCTACCTAGGGGGACAGCTTGAGGCTCTGTCTCAAAAAAAAAAAAAAAAAAAAAAGAAAGAAAGAGGAAAAACCTTAAATCCAATCTTAATACAGTCCATTGTATTTTGCAGGTTCAAGTATATTAAAGTATTTCAAGGGCAGGTTTTGTCTCTTAGTGCAAATATACCTATTCTTGTGATTTTCAGGCCTGGTCCATTCAAATCACAGGTACAAAACACACAAAACAAATAGAACAGTGTAAATTAGAGAGCTTATTTTTCTCAATATACTATCAAGAACATTCCCTAATCATATTAAAAGCAATATAAAATAAGGTTATTGAACATAAACTGAATTCCTTCATTACTATGATAAAATATACTCTAAAAGACCACACATGTTGACTTTCCTATCCATATTTAATTTGCGTACATATTCAGCTTAAATTTCAGAACTGATAATCTAATCAAGCAGTAGAGAAACAAATCAACTGGCAACATTTCTTTTTGAATGTTTGGATTGTAAATTCTCTGAACTACTCTTCTTTATACAAGGGAAAACCCTTGAAATTTTTGACTCAGCTCTTAACACTGCTATAAAATGAGGGCCTCTCATGTGATGAAATTATTCTAAAGCCCTGTATTCATTTGGTAAGAGAGCAAATTTTAATAATAAAAAGTTATATTTTATTTCTTATTTTTTATAAAAATGCTCTATTAATAATAGTAAATTATTTAAGTAGTAAAAAAGTAAATTAATAACAGAAATGATTCATGAAATTAATGGATTTATTGTTACTTTCTGCAATGGTTATTCTAAATTATTGGCCTGCTGAATATCCTTACCTAATGCCTATTTAAAAAGTAATTTAGAAAATTTAAATCAGATATTATCATGTAACAAAGGCATCAAAAAATAATTGCTGGATATAATTCTTCAAGAAACGTACTTTGCATGCAAACTGTGTAAACTTAGTAATAATATTTTGCAGATGTTATTACATTTTAATAATCTTCTCAAAACAAAAAAATTGCTTATACCTACTAGAGTCTTTTACACAAGGAGACTTAACAAATATTAACTCAGTTCCCCAGCAATAAACTCAGTCTTCAAGGGTGAAATCATTACCTTCTGAACTCAAATTTACCCAGCAAAATAACCTTTCTATATGATAATATACAAAACCTTATAAGACAAATTCTGCTTAAAAAATTAAGTAATCTGAATGACTGTAACAACCAAGTATTATTTTTAAAATGACACAAAAGTTATAAAGGAATCCATAGTGTTTATGAAGTATATGTTTATGTATACTTCATTTCTATCAATTTATCTTAGAGCATTCTAAAAACTAGTTATAAAAGTAACTGGATAGTTTCTTCCCTTTTTCTGCTTCTACTTCAACAATAGCATCTGAGTTTCATGAAAGAACCTGATGAGACACACCTTCCAAAGTAAACCCAAAGACTAAATAAAAACACTATTTTCACGGAACTTTGCATGAATTAGTCCAAAAACAGTTTATGCACTGGGGACCTCATCACTATAATAATAAGAAACAGGACCCTTTTCTGGGATGATCATTTCCCCTATCTAAGATCTTTGGGTACCCCTATGAGAAACAGCACAGCTAATAACTTGTTTTGTCTTTTAAACGCCAATACATAACATCATCTCGACTCCCTCACAACACTTTGTGAGGTAGGTCAGTAGAATAGGCAAATAACAAGTATCATCTTCATTCTGCAAATGAAGAAACTGAGGCACTGAAAGGTTATGATTTGCCCAAGGTATTCAATCAGTCAATCATGAAATTACAGTTACATTATCTCTGCTCCTGGCCTATTCTATTGCTCTTTGACCACATTTCACAATAAAAAGCTGTGTGTGTGTGTGTGTGTGTCCCCTCAAATGAGTTTTTATATTAAACTGAGAGCAAATCTATCCATTGATAATTATTTTATAGAGAATCTAATCTCAAAGATTATAGAAACTCAAAGATCAAAAAATAATTAGGCTTTTTTTGGATAATTAGGATGATACACTATTCCTTTCATTACCTGCATAGAACTGTGTCTTTTAAAAATTTACATGATGACACTCATTAGAGAGGAAAATAAAAATTTAAAATTTATAATCCAAGGAAAGGTTGCCTTCAAGAAACATATAATCATATTGTCAAAGTAACCATACAATTCATCTTCAACCTGGGCTATCTGAGAGTGAAAATGAGCACTGCTAATATTTACACACTGTACTGGGCAAGCTCAAGTATGGCCACCACTGTAGCATGAATCTAAGAGCTGCACATATTTCACAGATGCAAAAAAAACTCCCTACAAGCATATTGCACTCAACCATGTGCAGTGGTGATTTAAAATATAATACCTAATTTGGCTTAAATACAAAGGTTAATCACATTTTAAATGTCAGTACTAACAATAAATGGACTCAGTTTTTACCTTTGAATAACCAATTTTTTTTTTTTTTTTAACCAGGGGGCGGCGCCTGTGGCTCAAAGGAGTAGGGCACCTGCTTCCTATGCTGGAGGTGGCGGATTCAAACCCAGCCCCAGCCAAAAACAGGAAAAAAAAAAAAAAAGTATAACCAGGTACCTTAAAATATTAGAGAATATTGTGGAACTCTTTGGCTACTAAACAAAAAAACAAAACTATTTCCCATTAATGCTTAAGATTTATCCTTGAACGGCATGATTAACACTTAAGTCTTTCTAAAATGAAAATCTTTTACAAAGTAATACCAAATGCATAAGAAAGCCCAGTTACTACAAAGACTGTAACAATAATGTATCATCTGATTTTAATAAACATGCCAAAGACACTAACACCTATCATGAAGTATAATCTTAATGATACATGCAAAACCCCCACTAATTTGCAAACAGATTTGAAATGCACTTTTTACATTCAATTATGTCTGGTAAGTAAGCCTGTTTTAAGACATGGATTTTATGAATATAGTTATTATTTGAGGTTTGCATTCATTTGTATTTCTTTGGGAAACATAGGTTGGACTTTTTTTTATAAATAACAAAAATGTAAATCACAAAAATAAAACTGTATAGTATTATTCAGTATGACTTATGGCTTCCTTGAACCTTTAAAACAACTCCCCTGAAAAAAACCTAATTTGAAACAAACTGCACTACATATTCTCAATATATTCTTATCTTTATCATGGGTTAAATTCTTCCAATGTAACTTGTACTTCTAAGGCAGATGCTTAGGGAATGGTATGTAATAAATTATTTTTAGAAAAGGTAATATTCTATTCAATGAGCAATAAACTATTATTACTATGATGTAATTAATTTTCAGTGCTGTTTTTGTTATCCTGACATGTTTCACTGAAAGTAGAGAGGAACTTCTAGGTACATAGAATGTTCATAAAGGCTGAATTGATGTGTTGACATTGGTTAGTTTGTTCCACAATTTTTTTCAGGTATTAAACATCATCAAATATTCCGACATTAGACATTGAGAGATATCGTCCACCAGGCTGATACCTAAAAGGTGAACATAAAGGAATGATCTGAAGCATCAATCAGAAATAATAAAGGAGGAAAGAAAAACAAGAACACATTGAAAAGTAGCTACATAATTTGTATGCACTGTAAAATCTATTCAGTAGCTGAAAGCAGAAACTTGCCCTCCAAGGAAATTATCCAAAAGGACTTAATTTAGAGCCTACAATACATGCATGACATAGTAAGGGATATAGAAAGAAAAGGAAGAATTTAAGATGCACCTAGGAGATTAATCAATTTAATAACCGCTCCTGATTGTTGAACATAAATAGAGTATTTCAAGTTTTTTGCTATTTATAGTCAGTACTCTAGTAAACATCTATAGTATTCATGTATAGGATATTTTGCTTTTGTTTAATTATTTCCTGCTAGCACAGTGGCTAAAAGCGCACACTCCATAGTCAGAGTACTAGGCTGTTTTGAATGCCTGACTTGCCATTTATAAGTTGTGTGACTCCAGTCAATTTACTGAGCCTCTCTGGGTTGAAATCCAATTGGATTGCAACCATATAATAAGATGCTGTTGTTAAGTGCTTAAAATAATGTCTGGCATCCAAACATGGCTATGCACAATTACTAACTGTAATAAATTTTGTAAATGGGACAGTCAGAAACAGGTATATATTAATAAACATTAATTTCAATTCTTTCATATTTGTAATGCCATTACTATTGTCTGACAATTCTAATTTCAATTACTACTATTGGATGCTATAATTTATTTTAAATATAAAAGCATTATAAGGTACAAAAAGGTATCAAAAGTTACTTAATATACTTACTACAAGTAAACATGAACATTTTCTCTTACTTTATTAATCACTTGTTTACTTTTACCTTATTGCGATTTTCAATGTCCTGTTAGCCAGAACATACCTTCTTGATTCAGGTTCAAGAGGGTCATCAGTGAATGTTTCTGCATTAAAATCCAAAGGTTCTGCATCTTGGAGAAGTTCTATTCGGTCCCTTTCTGTCCTATTATTAGCCCTGGTATATTTGGACACTGCTGCAAAGGAAGAAAAAAAAATTCTACTTCCCTATTATCTTTTAATTGACAGGTCACAAGTCTATGGACTTACAGAAAGAAAAATCAAGATTGTAAGGAATCTGAATTTTGACTGTGGAAAAAAAAAACATAACTACATGTCTTTAAAAACTGGATTAAAATTAATAATAGTGTAATAAAAAATATGAAGGAAAAGTTTTCCAGCTTTGTAGCTAGTATAAGTTCAAAAGAAGATATCGTGCAATGACATAATTAGTATAATTCAGAACTAAGATTTAACTATGATATCATAATAGTGAAATTCTCCATTATCAAATGAAGTTTCAGTTGGTTTCACAGTGAATCTCATTTGCGGGCTAAGACTTTAAGGTATAATCAACTCAAGCTCTTCAGGAAAGGCTTTCTTCCCAGGAAGCAAGAGTCTGGGCAGCACTTGCTGCCCCTTGACAGAAGTAAAATACAAGCCTCACCATCACTTCGAAATTTTCTAATAGCTACATTTAAATGTGAAAAGAAACAGGTGAAAGTAATTTTATATACTATATTTATTTTGACCAAATATATCCAAAATACTATCATTTTTCAACATGGGGAACCAGCCATGTTACAATGCTCCACAGCTACATGTGGTTCAGTTATCATACTTACTGGTCAACACAGATCAGAAGACTAACTTTCCCTTCTCTATGTAGACAAGGATTTCTTCATAAACAACCTAAATCCTCATAGTGTTTTGAGCAGTCCAAATAGCTTTAAAACGACTTTATGACATAGTTCTTTTTCTTTTTTTTTGAGACAGAGTCTCCCTATGTTGCCCTTGATAGAGTGCAATGGTGTCACAGCTCACAGCAACCTCCAACTCTTGGGCTTAAGCGATTCTCTTGCCTCAGTCTCCCAAGTAGCTGGGAGGCGCCTGCCATAATGCTCAGCCATTTTTTTGTTGCAGTTGTTTAGCTGGCCCAGGACATGTTCAAACCCGCCACTCTTGGTGTATGTGGCTGTTGCCGTAACCACTGTGCTATAGGCGCCAAGCCTATGATATAGTTCTTTTGGAAAAGTTAAGACAAGCCAATTCTATCATATTTACATTTTTGTCATCTTGGACTCTGCCCTAAATGCAAGTCTTGATCTTTTCTCTTGGTCACTACAAAACCTTTAGTTGGTTGTGAGAGGCTGCTCAATTTTCCTGCTCCACTCTCAGTCTTAGGCAGGTTCCTCTGTACTGAAGCCTTAGCGGTGGGGTTCTCTCACCAAACTGACATCGCTCCCAAAGACAAACAACCTCTGTCTTCTAGTCAGTGAGAGGTCCTAGGCAAACCAGGTTTCTTGGCACCTCTCCAGAGACCTGATGTCATGTAAGTATATTTTTTATTATTAAAGATGAACATTTTCTTTACATTCAGATTTTCTAAAGCAGGGTCAATGATATTGGAAAGTTTCCTAAGCCACCCTGGGAAGTGATGGCTTCTACTCAATTATGAGCATACTATGGACAAGAAATGTATCTTTCTTATATCAATGTATACTTGAGAATATGCCTCACATACAGGGTGGCCATAAAGTTCGTGGGCAATTTGCACACGAACTTTATGGCCACCTTCTATATGGGTCAGTTGATAAATTATTGTAGAAACAACTCAATAACTTATATCTACAAATAAAAATGTAAAGAACAACATCAAGTAAATAATAGAAATAAATATTTGCCTAGAACATGTCTGGGGTAAGTGCTTAAATTATTTAGGTTAATATACTTTTTCATTTGATGTCCCAGTTTCTCCTTTCCCTGTCAGAATAGACGTGTGAATTTCCCCTTCCTTCTCTACATTGAAGAATGTGAGAAAAGAAGGTTAATGGAAATGCACATTTACAGTTATACAAAGGCATTTCTGGATGAGTATCCTAACTCTTAGTTGCTGTACAAGCAAGCATAAGAAGAAAATTTCTAAGCCAACTAGAAAATAAACTACTTACATCGGTTAGTATTAATATCTGAGAAGTTTAACTCTTTTGGATCAGTATGAACATTTCTGTTCCTAGTGGAATCTTCTCTATTGTGTCCATAGCGTTCTTTCCATTCCTAAGAAAAAAAATAAATGAATACACAACAAAAGAACAGAAAATAGTTCACCAATGTCAACAGGTTATATATGCAGAATAACACAATTTAATTATTTTTCATCAGAAATTTATTCGTAATCAGTACAATTATCGTAGTACCTTTAAAAGTCATGGGTCAATGTTTTTATCTTTACATGTAAAGTTACAGTCTACTACACTTTCAGTAAACTGTGGAAGTCAGAAATTCATGTAGAAGGGTGAGATCTACCTCTAGTAACTTCCACTCAGGTTCTACTTAGGCACTCTGATAAAAGAACAGATCTCTCCTTTTCATGACATATACTAAGACACACAAAGGCAGCTATCAAGTCTCCTGTTAGTCTTCACTTTGCTAGTATAGATACACCCAGTTGTTAAACTTCCATGGTAGTATTTTGACCAAGTTTTTCTCATTTTTTACTGAGGTTAATTTGCCTCAGCAAGTGTCGAACTGAAGAAAAACTGGAGAGAAATAAAATTAATGTCATATTATAAAAAAGCATAACAATTTTAAAGCAATCAAAACAACTGTAATGCCAAGACTACATGAATTCATTCATTTGACAAGTGTCCACTGAGCATCTACCTTATGCAAGAAGCCGCTTGACAATGGACACAAATGAAGAACTTTATTAGTAGTGACTTTTAAAACAGGTCTGACAGGATACCTTAGCATGGATATCTGAAAGTATTAAAATTCCTCTTTTAAAAAAATATATCTTGTGCCATTTCCCCATTGTTCTCTGTCTTGAGCAATTATTCCAAATTAGGATTCATAAGATATTTCACATTAATGTTTAGGTTATAGAAATTTAATCAATACTGTACTTACCCTTCTTCGATTTTCACCTTCTTCTTGCCTTTGCCTTTTTCTCTTCTCTAGAAACAGAAAAATGGTCTCAAATTTGGTATAACATAGTATAACCAGACAAAGAATAACTGAAGTAAAAATATCAGGCTAAGACTAATATTTCTTTTAAATTAATACAAAATCAAATGTAATAGGTAATTGTTAGAAAGGATCTAAGAGGTCATCTTGCCCAGTGGGTCCACTTTCTCTGTTTTTGTTAGAGATGGTCCTGAAGTCTTTGTAATTTTGGTGGACACAGAGTTCTCTCTCACAATGACCTGAAATTTCTCTGTAACTTCTATTCTCCTTTAGTCCTATATTCTAAATTAAGTTCATACTTCTTTTCTTTCTGTGTAAGAGTATTTTCCCTTGTTACTCTCTTCAGGTTATAAACACAATGGTTTTTTTTTGCTTTATGCTCTATAGACCCATAATTCTGGCGGTCCTTCTCTAAATACCTTCTAATTTATCAGTTTTATTCTTAAAAATCTTACATAGGACTAAACGTGATATGTCACATGAGGTATAATGTGAAAGAATATATTTAGTTTTGTGATTTGATTTTAGTAGAGTGCCATGTAGGCTATTAAAAACCATCACACTCTAAAAAAATACCCTTGGCTTGAATGAGTTCCCATGCAGTGTCAAGCTAATGGTTCTTTAAATTAATGGGGTTTTTTTTGTTTGTTTGTTTGTTTAGAGACAGAGTTTTAAGCTGTCGCCCTGGGTAGAATATTGTGGCATCACAGCTCACAGCAACCTCAAACTCTTGGGCTTAAGTGATACTCCTACCTCAGCCTCCCAAGTAGCTGGGACTACAGGCAGCTGCCACAGCACCTGGTTATTTTTGGTTGCAGTTGTCATTGTTGTTTAGCAGGCCCTGGCTGGACTTGAACCTGCCACCCTTGGGTGTATGTGGCCAGTGCCCTATTCACTGAGCTACAGGTGCCACTGAATTAATGAGTTTTATAGTTGTATAGAGCTTAGTAAATATGTTTCAGTGCAAACATGAAAATAATTTCAAGACCACTCAAGTGAGTTAGTTACAGACATATTAATAATTTGTGCCTCAGAATTTCTTGAAAACAGATAAAGTATTAATGTTTTCAAATTATTTTTGTTAAGAAGGTTATATGTAGATTTTTAGCTAAAATGGGCATTAACTTATCATTTCCTTTTTTTTTTTTTTGAGACAGGGTCTTGCTCTGTCTCCTAGGCTAAAGTGAAGGGGTATCATCATAGCTCACAGCAACCCCAAGCTCCTGGTATGAGTGATCCTCCTGTCTCAGCCTCCTAAGTAGATGAGACTATGGTATGTGCCACTGTGGTTGGCTAAGTTTTCTACTTTTTGTTAAGATGGGGTCTCACTCTTGCTTAGGCTAGTCTTGAGCTCCTGCCCTCAATGAATCCTCCCACCTCAGCCACCCAAAGTGTTAGGATTAAGGCATGAGCCTATATCTCATTGTATCTAGCCTTATAATTTCTTAAGATAGATTAAAAATTATTGTACAAATAATTTTGTACTTTGAGTTTTAGCACTTAGCATTTTCTCTTCATTTTTTTAAAAGACAAATCTTACCTCGTCTGATTAATTCTTTTCCTTCATCAACTAGGTCTGATGTCATATCATTATCTCCCATGAACTGCTGGAAACCAAGCAGATTCAAACAACGGGTTCCCAAACTAAGAAAAGTAGATTTTCAAGAAGACAAACATTATTCACACTGAAAATATTTATATAAATTGTTCTTTAGTGCTGTGAACTCAAAAGAAGCCTACACGATTATCATGTCAAATTACATATAGTTAACAACTGTTGTTCTTCAAGAAGTACTATTTATTTCTCTTTCTAAGAAGTTTATGCTCAGCACTTTACTGCCTTGGATATGCGCTACATCTAGATTTCCTGCAGAAGTTAAAGGAACTCAGGAAATTTTACCACAAAATATGACTCTTTAGTACAAAAAGCACTTTAAATGAAAGGCCTTAGAGATTAACAGACATTAGAAGAGGCTTTCCTCTATCTTCATAAAACCAGACCCACTGATAAAAGAACAATTGACTTCCTTTCCCTTCTCTGATATCTCAATATTTCGTAGGAAGGAAGATCAAGAATACAACCAGACCTGGCACAACCCATTTAAAAAATAATATGTGTCTCTGAGGTTAATTAAACTTCCAAATAGAATCATTTACCAGTCAATCTGTTTCCCCCATCCATTCTTTCTCCCAAGTATCTATACATCTTCCCTAGTAGCAATTTACTGCCCCTAAACAGAATTACCTACATTCCTCATCTCCACTCCTCCCTCTGGACTCCTCTGGATACTGGGTTAAGTACTCTGTGATTCTCCCTGTGCACAAGGTAAATGAGTCTCTTTCTCTTATTAAACTGCTTTATTCCAAGTTGATCTTTTAGCAACCCTTTGGGTTGAATTCAGGAGTTTGAGACCAGCCTAAGCAAGAGTGAGACCCTGTCACTACTAAAAATAGAAAAACTAGCCAAGTGTTGTGGTGGATGCCTATAGTCCAGCTACTAGAGAGGTTGAAGCAAGAAGATAACCTGAGCCCAAGAGATTGAGGTTGCTACCACAGGGTGAAAGAATGAGACTCTCAAAAAAAAAAAAAAAAAATTAAGGAGTACAATCTTTTCTTAATTAAAATGGCACCCAAAGTTTATCTTGATTAACTCTGGATACACTTTTAATGAATATTTTTAAGTTTATTTAAGAGTTTATAGTTGACAAAACAGTAATCTACCTCATATCACTTTGATACAAATAATAATCTGATAAGCAGCAAGAAATGTTAATATTGGCTTGGCGCCTGTGGCTCAAGTGGCTAAGGCGCCAGCCACATACAACTAAGGTGGGGGGTTCGAATCCAGCCTGGGCCCGCCAAACAACAATGATGGCTGCAAACAAAAAAATAGCCAGGTGTTGTGGCAGGCGCCTGTGGTCCCAGCTACTTGGGAGGCTGAGGCAGGAGACTCGCTTGAACCCAGGAGTGGTAGGTTGCTGTGAGCTATGATGCCATGGCACT